ATATCAGTTAAATTTATTTAAATATTATTAGGATGTTTGAAAATAAATACCTTTTAACAAATACATTCTTAAAACCCAAGTTAAATTTATTTAAATATTATTAAGTTGGAAGCAATATAAAAACGTTAGTTAAATTTATTAAAATATTATTAGGGTGTTCGAAAAATTAATATGTATTAATGACAAGGATATAAAATAAATGTAAGTTAAATTTATTTAATATTATTAGGTTTTTCGGAAAGTAAATACTTTTTGCAAGAAATGATATAAAAACGTAAGTCAAATTTATTTAAATGTTATTACTGTGTTCAGAATATAAATTCGTCTTGATAGCCAGATATACAACAATAGTAAATTAAATTTATTTAAATATTATTAGGTTGTTCATAAATTAAATACATGTTGAGAGCAAGGATTTAAAATAAAATGTGAGGTAAAATTATTTAAATATTATTTGGATTGTTCATATAATAAATACATTTTGATAGCTAAGATATAAAACAAATGAATGTTTAATTTATTTAAATATTAGTAGGTTGTTCAGAAAATAAATAAGTCATAATAGCAAGGATATATGACAAGTATAAGTTAAATTTATTTAGATATTATTAGGCTGTTCCTAAAATAAATACCTCATGATAACAAGGATATACGACAAGTTTAAGTTAAATTTGTTTAAATATTATTAGGGTGTTCGGAAAATAAATACGTCATGATAGCAAGGATATAAGACAAGTATAAGTTAAATTTATTTAAATATTATTAGGGTGTTCGGAAAATAAATACGTCGTGATATCATGGATATTAAACAAATTTAATTTACATTTGTTTAAATATTGTTGTCTTGTACGGAATGCAATTACATTTTGATTGCAATGATATAAAGCATGTGTGATAAATATAAGTAAAATTTGTTTTAATATTACACTGGCCAGCGGCCAGTTTCCATCAGGAATATTATGGACTGTATTAAATTTAATTTTGTCCACTGAATTAAAAAGATGTAATCGGATTTCTTCTAAGTACAGTTCAATCATTATTGTTATGGTTGTATTCAATACTTAAATCTTAAAATTCTGATCAACATGCCAAGGCATTTGAATTGAGAATCGAGAAGATCTACCAGTTTGATATTGGATGCCGTCTCTGATATCAAAATAAGAGTTGGGTTCCACATATCATCCGCTCAGCTTCTTCTAATGGACTAAGGGATTGGCTTAATAAAAGGAAGAGAACAACGCCGTTCGTAGTACCAATGATATGGAGGGAACCATAGGACCATTTCAAAAACGGTTATTTCTGCAAGATTAATATATGTTAGTTTGGAGTTAAAGCGATGCATAAAACTGTGCATCCCAACTTAGAATCGATATGAAGACTAATACCACACAACGATGATAAGCTTTCCTGTCCCTGTGACCCCCAGAGAGAATCATATGAGTTGGGAGACTCTAATGTCTTGAGTAAGCCATTAAAAAAGATAGAAAATATTTTAATTTCTCCTCAGCATAAAGCTTAAGCTCATGAAATAATATGCGAAGATACATACCGGTAAGGACTCGGAATGATCTGAATATATGAATGACATGTACCCAGAAATCACCCAGGCAAAACTGAATGAGGGCGTATTAGTAGGTCCGCAGATAAAGGAACTCTCCAAGTACAACAACTTCATCAAAACACGGGGTTTGACTAAACTTAAAGCCTGTGAAGAATCCTTTAAGTGGATCTCTGGAATTAGTAGGTCCGCAGATAAAGGAACTCTCCAAGTACAACAACTTCATCAAAACACTGGATTTGACTAAACTTAAAGCCTGTGAGGAATCCTTTAAGTGGATCTCTGGAATTAGTAGGTCCGCAGATAAAGGAACTCTCCAAGTACAACAATTTCATCAAAACGCAGGATTTTATTGAACTTAAAGCCTGGGAGTAATCCTTTAAGTGGATCTCTGAAAATCTGGGTAACAAGAAATGTCAAGATTTTAGTAATGGGGTAAAATGTCTTCAAGAGTCTTTTGCAGCAATAGGCTGTCAGAGGTCACTGAAAATCCATGTCCTGGATCTTATTTCAGAGAACGTTGTAACAGTGTCTGATTATCAAGAGGAACGTTTTCCTCAAGACTGCACCAAAGAAGCAACGATGTCGAGGATTTAGGATTAAAGGAATACTATCCGACTGCACTTGGATGTTATAGAAAGATGGACCTAAAAATAAGCATATAACAGGATAGAGCTATCGTAGAATAATTTATTTTACCGTTGTATTTTCCCCATTATGGGTATTATTATATTAAGTATGGCTGAAAGGAAAGGGAATGTCAAAGAACCTTTGCTCTCACGCAAAAGTATATGTACATATACACACGTGTCCCACACGGAAAACAATATATCATATATATCTACACAGCAAAACAGAATGCAAGAAGAATAAAAAAGAAAGGGTCTTACATATAATATGAAGATAATCCTGCGTCTGGAGAAGTAATGTTTAAGAATCCAGATTGAAATGGGCTTGATTAACGAAGGGGAACGTTGAGTGTTGGGTTTTCCCAAATTGAGGACAGCGAGTAGAAGTTTATTTCTATATCTGGGAAAGATATATTGCCAAAGGGAATTGACTTTTAAGATGTGGCATTTGGTAGAGGAGGTGGATTTAGCCTGACCCTGGGCCTCTTGGTCCAGGCTAAAAAAATATAAAGCAACCGCTCGATTTGGCTACTGTAAAACAAACTGAATGATTGGCCACTCTCCGAAGTGACGTCACTGAGCAGCCGTCACGTGAACTATGTGACGTATCTCCACGAAATGGAAATAATCGCCTTCTTTATCATTACAAGCGTCTGAGAAAGCCTAATCCTAAAACTTAAATATATTTTATAATTCAATAAAGAGTATTATAGCTTTATTTTGCAATAGTTTTGATTTTGTACAATAAATGACCACGAAAATTTCATATCTTGTGTTTATTATTTAACATGGATTACGTACCCAAACGTGAAAATTACAGGAATCAATAACGTAAACATGTAACGTGACCACGAAAACGAACTTCAGGTTCGAAAGCGGCATGAAAAATTGACTAAAAATATAATTAATAATAATTCAAAACTGTTGATTACAAAATTTTCTATTTTCTTCATCAGTTTTATTAGAGTTTTCGAGAAATAAGGAAATCTTCATAGTAAGAATATTAACTAAATGTAAATTAAGTTAAGTTAAATAACATTTATGGTTTTGGGAAAGTAATCACGTTTTACGAAATACGATTTCTGAAAGGGTCTCCTCAGGGGTGGCTTCAAAACCACTACAATCTTTATCCCTTCAAGTCGAGAACCAAACGATGTTTCTCCTATATATCCGCATACTATGCTATTTTTGCCAGCTCTGTCATCTCCCTTAAAAATCTATATTATCATGGGTTGCCCCTGGACCTTGTTTTGGGTAAACTACATTTAAAAGCATAAGAATATAAAACTATAGTTAGCTATATTTATTTAAGTATTAGGGTGCGCGGTAAATAATTACTTTAAAAAAAGAATGTAAAAAATAAAAAACCACACCCAGAATCAAATCCGTCCTGGGGAAGACGATAAACTCCGTCCAACAGCAAGGCCTCTGATCAGGAGGTTTTGAGGAGCGTGGAACGACCTCTTAATTGCTGGTGTTCACAGGTCCAACCTGACCCGGGCTGGTAGCACCTGTTAGGGTTCCAGCTATGGGTAAATAGGTAACACCCAGACTATATCCGCGTCCTGGGTATGACGATAAACTACATCCGCGTCCTGGGTAAGACAATAAACTACATCCATCAGCAAGGATTTTGATAATACGTTTTTGAAAAAATAATGTTGCCAGCTGCACGTTTTTGAAAAAGAAATATTACAAGCTATACATTTTTGAGGAAAAAAATATTAACAGAAATAGATTTTTGACAAAACAAAAATATTACCAGGAAAAAAAAAAGTTGTCGGCATTAAATAAACCCATTGAGGTTGATATACCGTAAAACAAAACAAACCAAACCAAACCAGAATCAAATTTTTATATGTAAAAAAAGTGTTATTCTTACAAATCAAGGCACCGTCGCCTCTCTCTGTCTTTTTTACAAATACTTTCATGGTAATTGTTCCGATGAGCTGCTTTCGCTGGTTCCCAGGCTTCATGAATTAAAGCATCCTACTAGGCTAGCATCCCGCTCTCACCCTTTCACTGTTGAAACTGTTAAATGTTGCCGTCTCTTCTACTCCAATAGCTTCATATCTCGCACCTCTCGCCTGTGGAACTCCCTTCCCTTTTCCTGTTTCCCTGATAGCGATAATCTCCAACTGTTCGAATGTAATGTTAATAGACATCTGCAATTGCCTTGATCTATCCACTACCCTTCTCATCCTTTTTTCTATCACTTCTATCTGCTCTCAGTCCAAATCCTCTGTAACCGCTTGCGTGCTAGTGGCTTCCAGCCTTGCTTGGGGTAAAATGCTTACAAAAAAATAAAAATTAAAAAAAATAAATTCAATATATAAAGACGGATACTCCTTCATCATTTAAATGATATCATTTTTTCCAAACCTTCTGAGTCAATAAATAGGCGCGCTATAGACTGGTGCGTGTTGTAAGTTGGACAATATAGCATTTCAGCAATATTTTTCACATTGGAAATCATCTTATATATTTATGATCTACGATTCATCTGTGCACTGAATATCGTTATCTGGTCATGTGCCTCGGCGATATATATATCCGTTCTTTTTTATCAACATTTTGCAAGTTATTTAAAGCCAGAAAAAATATATATCTTTTTTTTTTACAATGTAAGAATTTCTTTTGAGATAATAATGGTTTAGTGATACAAGTCTTAATAATTAACCCATAGCTGGGAGAAGAAGAGGTGAATTCATGCCTTTCCCAGGTGAATCTAACGACCCCGACCGGAATTGGAACTCGGTACTTTGATTAACAATTCCGAACCGTTACCCATTACACCAGCCGCACATCCCAACTTACAGCACCTGGTATTCCCAAGCGGTCACCCATCTCGGTACTGACCAGGCTCGCCATTGCTTAAACGATCATACGGGAACGAGTGTTTCAACACGATATGGTCATAAAGCCTATATATCTCGAAATTCTAGATAAAATCCAAAGAAGCGTATTATTATAGATCATGACCTGGCATCTCGGATTCAGTCATATTTCCATCGTCATTAACGGGGTTCCTTGTGTCTTTTCTATAAATATTTTCATGGCAGTTGTCCTAATGAACTTTTCACTGTTGCCTTTGTTCTGATAAGAGCCAGTGACCCTCCTTACTGATCCATTAATGATAAGTAGTCCTGGGTAATTGTCTAGAAGGAAAAGATTTTTTTTTTTTTTTTGGCAGTGAGTGTCAAGACTTATTCGGTCGTGTTGAGTGTTGTGTTTTGCCAGAATCTACAGGTACCTAGACTGCATGGATTGGGACGTACTACTAGATTGGAAGATAGGTCTCAGATTGTTGCTGCTGAATTAGCTAGATGTAACCGTAAGTCCTATTCTAATAGTTTCTTCTATCGCACTTCTTCTGGAACTCTCTTCTGGTTTCCTGCTTCTATGTCAAATAAAACGATCAAAAATTTAATTGCAATGTTAATCGTCAACTACTGTCTTCCTGAAAACTGTTCTGTTATTGTCCTCTCTTCTCACCAGAGGCATCTCATTCTTTTCCAAACCCTTTGCGTCTTAATGGCTTTATCGCCTTGATTGAGGTGAAATGATTAAAACAATAATTGTATTTATTTATTAGCCTTTTCTTATGCATCAATTGACGATTAAATAAGATATTCGATTCTTAGCGTAATTATTTGAGACCAATTTCATGAGACATTCTACTTAATGATTTGTTTTGCTGCTGAAAAATGACAAGTGTTTCTTATCTCAAATACTTTTCATTTTCTATATTGCCTTCAATGGCAATCAAGCTCGTTAAATGAATCGGAAATAATTGATAGTAGAATATTTTTGATTTAAATTCTTTCTGCTTCAGTCCTGTTTCACGTTTATACAGAACGGAATCAAAATGGAAAGCATATTAAATGAAATAGAATGGGAATATAAAATTGGGGAGGGGATGAAAACTCTTCAATAAAGAAGGATTGTAAAATAGAGAAAACAAAAAATGACAATAATAGATAGGGAAAAAGAAAAAGGAGTAAAAATAAATGATGACATATTTTGTTAAGTCCTTACTATTAGCAGAAGTTTTTCACATGTGAGTCTTTAAATATATAAATATACTAGTTTACCCAGGCCGTCCAAAATGATGGCATATTTTGTTAAGATTTTCCTTAACTATTATTAGTTTACCCAGGCCGTCCAAAAAGATTTTCACATTTGAGTCTTTAAATATATAAATATACTAGTTTACCCAGGCCGTCCAAAATGATGGCATATTTTGTTAAGTCCTTACTATTATTAGAAGATTTTCACATTTGAGTCTTTAAATATATAAATATACTAGTTTACCCAGGCCGTCCAAAATGATGGCATATTTTGTTAAGTCCTTACTATTATTAGAAGATTTTCACATTTGAGTCTTTAAATATATAAATATACTAGTTTACAGTCCAGGCCGTCCAAAATGATGGCATATTTTGTTAAGTCCTTACTATTATTAGAAGATTTTCACATTTGAGTCTTTAAATATATAAATATACTAGTTTACCCAGGCTGTCCAAAATGATGGCATATTTTGTTAAGTCTTTACTATTATTAGAAGGTTTTCCCATGTGAGTCTTTAAATATATAAATATACTAGTTTACCCAGGCCGTCCAAAATGATGGCATATTTTGTTAAGTCCTTACTATTATTAAAAGGTTTTCACATGTGAGTCTTTAAATATATTTTTTTATTTATTGTTCTATTCTCCTCAGTATATTAGGTCTTTGCAGTTCATGAGTTCATAAGTTCTAAGTCTTTTATTGACGTAGTAAAATTAATACGGCTTGTCTTTACTAGTGCAAGATTCTTCTGCCTGTTCTACTAAAAATTACAGCCAGAAATTAACTTATAATCCTACTTCAGCCGGATTCTTTAATCTGTTAAATTTCTATTTAATGAGAACTTTGTTGTTCTTTTACATTTTTACGATTAAAATATGTCGACTTGTGCGAAGCAATCTTCCGCAAATAATTATGGATGACACTCCGTTTCGTAAGGGTTCCATTCTGTCAATAAATAAAAAAAAAAATTACTGAACGTAACTTACAAGGTTAAAACGAACCTACGTTCCTAGCAAGAATAAATTGTTGTTTACATTGTTGTTATTTTTCTCATAATTTAAAATCCAGTTTGGTTTTACGACCAAAAAACCGGAAAAAGGATTCCCGGAAATCTTTGAAATATTTCTTTTCGCTATTAAAAACTCTTTTTATCAAATAATTTCTTCTTTTTTTTCTTCTTTTTTTATTCCACTACTTTTTTTTATCAATATCGACAGTTGGCTTTGCAACGAATAAAAAATGTATGTCAAAGAAAGATTAATAACAAAAATATTATCTTTAATTCATAAGTTTTGAAATTTGGTGATAATATTTTCGCGCTTGCTTAAAAAGATAATATTGTAGAGATAAGCAACAAGTGGGTTGTGTCGACATGTGTTTTTGGGGAAGAAACAGACTTTTATTAAAAAATTATATTTACACTATGAAAGAACATATGCGCTGCTGTTTTTTCGTTTATCTATATTTTTAGTAAAGTGGGTACCGTATATATATATATATATATATATATATATATATATATATATATATATATATATATATATATATGCCTATATATGTATGTGTGTGTCTGTGTATGTGCATTTCTTTGCATATATATATATATATATATATATATATATATATGTGTGTGTGTGTGTGTGTGTGTGTGTGTGTGTGTGTGTATATATATATATATATATATATATATATATATATATATGTGTGTGTGTGTTTGCATGTGGGTATACATGTATGGGTGTATATGTGTGTATAAATATTTGTGTGTATATGTGTGTGTATATATATATGTGTCATAAATGTCTATATGTATACATGTGTATAAATGTATATATGTGTGTGTGCGTGAGTATTTATACATATATATTTGCCTCTGTGTGTATATGTGTATAAATGTGTGTACATATATATATATATATATATATATATATATATATATATATAAACACACACATATATATATATATCTCTGTGTATATATTTGTGTGTATATGTGTGTATATATATATGTGTGTGTGCATATATGTATATGTGTGTTGTTTAAATATATAAATATATATGTATATATATGTGTATATATATATATATATATATATATATATATATATATGTGTGTGTGTGTATGTGTGTGTGTGTATATATGTATTTGTGTTTATATATGTGTGTATATATATGTGTGCGTGTGTTTATATATATTTATGCGTATGTGTGTTTATATATGTGTGTATATATATGTATATATGTGTGTATATATATGTGCATATATGTGTGTATATAAATGTGTACATATATATGTGTGTATATATACATGTGTGTGTATATATACATGTATTTGTCTGTGTGTGTATATATATATATATATATATATATATAGAGAGAGAGAGAGAGAGAGATTGAGAGAGAGAGGACAGAGAGAAAAAGAGAGAGATTGCATATTTCGGTCGTAATCTTTCTTTTGTATATAACTGACAACAAAATTTTGATTAATATTTTATTTAATTTTTACAACATTCTTAACTTTTTCTTTTTGGTGGGTGTGAGGGAACACAAAACTTCTTCGTATTGTCTATCGTCTCAAACGGTTTCGTCCATTTTGAAGAAGGGGGTGCTTGTTTTAGGCTTTATTTCCTTCTTTTGTTCTATTTTTGTGCTGTTTGAATAGTAAAATTTTGTTTATTGACTATTATTATAGTTTCGCTGCCAACCCTCAGGTGAGCAAACACAGGCGATCCTATTATTGAATTAAGTAAACCGCATAACCATAGAGGAAACGCATTTATGTAGGATACAGCTGGCGACTAACGATCGCCATTTCTAGTCTATCCTCTATTACTATACGGACCGCAATTCACTATTCTATTCTCTATACTATCTCTCTATTTGGATCACTATATTGTCGAGCGAGAATTATCGAGCAAGTATTATTAGTGTGAGTGACATTCGAAGGCGTCTGGCATCAGTATTGTTCAACGGCGTTACTATAGTTGTATCTGCGATTACAAAGTCTCTACTACAACTAGCATTACGAAAGTGACAACGAGTGTTCGTTAACATCACAAAAACTTCTTCGTCAGTCCTGTTCACTGTGTATTTTATAAACGATATCTATTTATTTATACTTTTAAATTATTTACTATCCATATATATCTTTACGTCCACACTATATAAATTTTTTATTGACTTCTTTGCCAGTCCCATTCGCTCTGTATTTTATAAGTTTCTATTAACCATGACCAATTTGTCCACGGGACTACTAAAATACACGGTAAGTAGATATATTCGTTATTTTCAAATACGGCCAGTACGTTGTGGCCATGTTCATACTTAATATTATTAAAGGTATAAAAGTGTATAATGCGTACTGAGAAAATCTGAACATGGAAATGTGGGATGGTAAAAAAACAAAAAACAAAACAGCCGTTGCCTAGTGCTCTAATGAAAGGAAGTCGTGGAAAGCCACGACCATGAACATCCTGAAGAGACACGGCACGAAAATATGGTTCATTATGATGACATCAATGATTAAGACTTCAGCAAACTTCTCAGACGCGTGTATATACTCCTTTTGTACTCACTCAACTGTGACGTGCCAAAAAATATAGAATTATAGCATGTAAAGGTAATAGTCTTTAGCGCGAACGTAATTTAACGTAAGGGAAATGTCCATTAACTATATTGACATCAAATACCTACTGGAATGCTCATGGCAAAGCGATTTGAATTACCGGAGACCGAACGGAACTTGAGGCCTGAAGATATTATCGGCTACCGTGATCGGACACAGGATATTAATGATCATGACCAACGGCATTTAACTAGAATTAATGCGCCAGCCACAGAGAAACCAGA